AAATTCAGCATTTAGTTGAATTAAATTGTTTATACATCAGCTGACCCAGAAGACTTTTAACTCCAGTATTCTTAATGAAGAAAGAAACAATCCTTGCAACTTTGGATCAAAATAAACGCTACTAAGAAGGGCGCCATGTCAACTAAATATACTCACTCACTTGTGAGGACTTAAAGACCAAGTGGGCGGTTACAATGGCTTCTCGAGGGCATACAAGCCTTCCCCTAACCCTAATTAATATTACATAGGACATAACTACTGAGTAGTAAAGTTAGTATTAGGAAGAAACTTACAGGTTAGTTGGCGAGCAAAAAAAGGATTGTACTAGACGTATAAAGTTCGTTAGGCACTATCTAACGAGAAAATGGAAAATACTAAAATATTTTAAGGGTTGGAGGAAGAAATAAATATTAAAAAAAAATTAGGCAAGGATTTCTAATACTTATCCTATCATATCGAAATTTTGAGAAGTTTTTAAGATTTTTTTCATTTTATCCAACATTAGAAGAAAATAAAAAATTAAATAAAAACAGAAAAGTAAAAATGAAGACATTGAAATCCGGTAAAATACCTCTCAAGAAGGGAGGCAATTGTAGTCAGCCTAACGATCCAAGTTAACAGTTTATGCTGGGATTACATATTGTTTCAACTTGATATAAGTGCACAAACATGAATTCTATACATAGAGAGATGAATATAAAGGGGTACACATCATAAGATACAGGCAAACTGCCAAAAGTGTCGAGATGTGTGTGTATGTGTAAAATGAATCAGTGTAGCCATAGAAATCAACACTGCATAATGACTTTCAGTTTCAAATCTAATTATCTGCATATATATTAAAATACATAAATTTGATAAATATATATATGGGTAAACATTTTTATATACGTAAAGTTTACTTATTCGTACAGATTATCGAATACGTATAAACCGAGAAACCTATTGCCGAGCATGTAGAGAAAGAAAGACCGAATGATAAAAAGAGAAATATGCAGGGTGGGGAGAGAGAGAGATAAAGAGAAATGAATAGACAAGGATCGATAGATATATTAAAGGATATATAGTTAGGTGGAAATAAATAAATAAATAATGAGTCGAAAAAAAATTAAAAATGGGAAAGAAGTGCAATGAAGCTTTCGGAGATGTTGCAGTCTGACTGGCCTCGTTTTCGCTTTATTTCGACGCTCTGGTGCCATATTGGCGCGGAGATTCACACCAATTCCAGCAAATCAGCAAAAACGCAGACTTCCATTAATGTTCGGCGTTGTAATCGATAAATATTCGCCAAAAAGGAGTCCTGTCTCCTTAATGGCTTATTTAATCAGTTCAGGGTCAGTGAAGGATGTTGGATCTGCGCAGACAGGGTAAGAAAAATGAAGGCCTCTGTCTGTTAGGCGAGATAAAAAAATCATTACTTTCAAAGTGAAATACACTCTCCACCGTTTTCAAAAAAATATTTTCTAATTTTTGTTTTGTCGTTATTACTTTCAAAGTGTTTATAAATACTTGCGAACGGTTTACCACTCCGAGATATTTGATATCTATCACAACTGCGTTCGGTTAGTTTGTTTTCTTGCCAGCTCGCGGATTGATTTTCATGAAGAATACGATAGTGCTATTAAATAACTGGCGCTATCTAATCTTTTAATCTAAAACCTATCAACATATTTGACATATATTTCTATGGTTGCTTGCTTTTGCACTTCAGTAAATTACATTTGCATGCATTGATGTGCATCTATTCCGCTTGCAACGGTACATTAATGAGCATTTCTAGAAGTCCCTAGCCTCATGAAGAAAAACAATTTGCCTAATATTCATTTTTCTTTTTTTTAATACAGTAGAATCCCTGACAACCGGACTAAGGAGGCCGGATGAGAAATACAGTAGAATCCCTGACAGCCGGACTAAGAAGGCCTTCCGGATATGAGGAATTGATTACAAAGTCCGGATATGAGGGGTTATATTTAGATTAAAATAAAAGAACTGAAATCAGGTTTAACATTTATTTTCATTGTTTTATAGTAAACAAAATAAGCTAATGAAGAGTGAAATATAACGATTTGATTTTAAGGAAAAAGAAATAAATTATGTAATGTTAATGAAAATTCATTAAATTAAGTATGCCACGTATGCAAAACAAATAATGTAACGAGGATTTTATTAATCGTTGTTGCATGATGATTCTTTCTTTTCTAATGTCATTCTCAACCTTTTCCGCATTTCGTTTTGCTTTTGTTCTTAAAATTTTTTAAACGAAAGACATTTTTTTAACTGCGTGCGTTATTGCAATCGTCATAGCTGAATGCTGGTTTTCTTTTCATAAAACTGACAACCTTTTCAATAGCTTTTTCAGTTACAGTCCAGGTTTCATTACAATCATGTATCACGTTGCAAATGTGTCTCGTTGTCATCCTTTCCTCTTATTCCCATCATCTTTTGCACCAATACAAGCCATTAGGGTGAAATAAACATAAGCAATTATCCAAAGTAAATTTCCTGAAAAACAAATTTCAAATCAGCTACATATCACCCAGAAATATAAATATCAAAATAGTATCCGGATATGATGGAATTTCATTGCAGTAATCGTCATTGCCTTCATGAATCGATGAATATTAAATCATTCAACGAAAATGTTAAATCAAATTTCAACTGTCAGGCTGTGTATTTATTGAGTCACCCATTTTTAAGCAAGTGTTGGTGTGACCGTATTTTGATATCAGCTACAGCAGGAAGGTTTCAAGGAATCCTTTCATGGTATAAACGACGAGTGCATATGCTTTCAGTTCCGGAATTAATTTTTAGAAAGCATAGTCTTTGGTATACGAGGATAAAAAGATTCGGATATATTTTATTTTGAGCCAAAAATATGCCATGATGGTTTCACGCATCTCTTTAAAAGCAATATAAAAATAACCAGAATATTATAGATTCTCTGATAGATTCTTCGGGGATATATTTCCTTACTGTCATCAATTATTTCTTATATGTACCGCCATTTAATTCAGAATCCAACTTCGATTGTGAGTTGTGATGACAAGAAAGCGATAATTCTAGTAACGGTTTATTCCCTTCTTACTTTGAACGGCTTCCATGTTGATAATTTGTGTTTTTCTTTCAATTATTCATTTTCCGTCAGCCAGAGGGGAGAGTTATTCATGCGCAAAGTTAGTGCAGACAAGTTTCTAAGGAGATGTGAGTATGAATAAATGTCTTTAGGTGGAGTTTTGATATCAAGGACACACACACACGTGTCTGTGTGTGTGTGAATGGGCAAGTTTATTGTTATTCGTAAACTTATATAGTTCTATAAGTTTGCCTATATTGTTCATCGAACACTAAAGCCAATTATTGAATTAATCTTACACTAAAAGCCTGTGATAATATTTTTTATATTTAATGAGAAATATATATCAATATATATCCACATGTCTCATTAGTACATTTCCAATCTATTATCCATATTATTATTCAGTAAAAAAAAATATTGATTTAATCAAAGATCGCTATCCTCTGTTTAAATTTTGTTAACATTGCCTGCCCCTCTCTCTCTTTCCCATTTAAAAAGTTAAGATATTACTTTTATACGAGAAAGCTCAATTTTTATAGAATCCATCATCGTCATCATCGTATTAGAGTCCTTAAGCTAACGATACTCGTATACCGAAGTCATGGAATAGCAGTCGGAAGATAAGAAGTAGCGCAACTTTATTTTGACGTCATGGAAATTTCCAGACCTATATCAATAGCACACTAACATTTCATAACTCTGAACACCTAGGTTACTCATGGCAAGGCGACGTGCAGAGTTCGAATGGGGGCAGGATAATAGTGGCCAGGTAGATGTGACATTTCATTTCTGAAATTTTGTAAACATTTAACCTCACACGATCTAAGATGTCACGTGAGGACTGGGGATAACTGATGGAAGACATTACCATCATCCATTGGACAACACGCGTAACAGGCTTATCCAGAAGGTCAGTTATTTAGCCTCTATGCGATATATCAGCAGAAGATCCACTGGGGTGGTACTGTTTACGGAACGGTACCGGTAACTGTGTCTTCCCTTGGCTTGTGAAGTCCCTAACAGTGGTCCGATGAATTGCAATTCCAGTGATTTCGCGGTGAGAGTGGGGTTCAGGATTGACGCAGACCCCAAAAGACCATGATGCACAATTTCCAATAAGGTATAATGTGTAGTGTGCTCTTGTGTCCTCGCTGAGTTCCTCTGTTTCAACTTCTTTTATATGTGTTATGTCTCATCAAGATGTAGGAAATCATGGTTCTACACGACATCCTGTAGCTCTTAATAAACTTTGTCTTTCTTTTATTTCCCCTAAGCCATTACTCAAGCTCACTATTCATTTACTCAAGCTCACTAAGTTAGTTACGCGTTGTTGTATCCCTCTTGCCCTGTCCCGTGAGTATCAGATTTTCCAAGCCCTCCGTTCTCGTTATGTGCCCCAGAAACCTCAACTGTCTCTTCCTGTACAAATTTCCTTTTTGTTTCCATTTTCTCTTCGGGATTTCATAAATCCACAACGGGTTATTACAACAGGATAACGCACCCTGTCTCCGGGCCGAAGTGATCGAATATTAATATTCGATCACTTAAGAGCATCCTGGAGACATTCGACGAATGGTGTTAATCATCACATTCAGTCGAGCACTATTTGCATCCAAGATTTTGCACTTACAAATATAAAGAAGATGTGCACAGCAAAGATTACTATATTCCGCAAAGATTGATTGAATCGTTTTCTACGGCTTATCAACCCTTTCTAGGTTATTTAAAGCCAGGTTTAGGTTACACGATCTTTTTTAGATAATGTTTCATTGATACCAATCTTACAAATTAACCCATATCTGGGAGAGAAGATGTGAATTCATACTTTTCCCAAGATTATTTGCGCGTAATTAAATGTAACGAACCCAACTGGAATTGGAACAATTCCGAGCCATCATCTATTGCACTGCCCGCACACCCAAGTTTACAGCACCTGTTATTCCCAAGCAGTCACCCACCTAGGTACTGACTAGGCTGGACGTTGCTCAACTTTGGTGATCTTACGGGGACCGTTGTTTTAACGTGATGTGGTGTTAAGCCTACCTCTGCGAAGGTCTCCCGAAAATTGTGAAATCGATACTAGGCAGATAAAATGAATTCAAAGTAAGTATAAGTAAAAAAAAAAAAAAAAAAAAATCTACAAAATGAAACATACATAAAAATGAATTCTTAAAAAACAACAACAAAAAACTACATTCTTTAACCCTAGAACACTAACCATGGGTATATAGTACCCAGCGCAAATTTTCCTATTTTTAATTACAATTTTCAATACCTGATTTTCTTACCTAAATAATGTTTTTCAGTTCCTATTAATGTTAACTCAAAGTACAAAGTTTGAAGTGCTTGCATGTAAAATATTTCAAATCATGATTTATATTTGATATATTTTTTTTTTATATTTTCAAAATCGGGTATGATATACCCATGGTTAGTAGTGGTATAACTTTAATTGATGGTTAGTGTACTATGGTTAAAAAAGCGTTAATATATATGGTGAAGTATGTCAGTTAATTATTTGGAACGTTGATCGACTTTCTGGAACTGAAGTTGTAAAAAAAGATTTTAATTTTATACATAAATATTTTTGCATTCTTTGTAATTTTTCCATAACTAATTTTCGTGTTCATTAATGATTCTCTTTTAACCCTTGTTTAGTGTAAATTCCCGTTAACGTTTGTTTCTCACGAGATTAACCCTGCCTTAGTCACATGGGGTGTTTTGTTACCCCAGCATTGTTTTTAAGTACTCGTAATTCCTAGTTGCCAACTAGTTTCTTTTGCTTCCCTCCACTACCCTGATTCAGTGAGGGTGTGCAGCACGAGGTGTGGTGCAGTTGTAACTCAGTTGTCTTGGGAAACTGACTTCAGGGGACAATCCATTTTCGGAAATCCGAGGTGACCAACTCAGGGTTAAATAAATAATTAAACGAACTCTTATCAATAATAAAGACACGGGTAGAGTTTCCTTAAGACGCTTGCTTTAGAGTTCTGTTTCATAAATCGAGGTTAATGTATTCCTTTCTTACTGAGTGTTCTACTAGTGATATATTATAGTACCTCACTAGGCTAAATTTAGTGGATATCTCTTAATAGTACTCGTGGTAATAGAGTGCTTAGTACGACGGTATTAGAAACTTTTCAATATGAGTTCGGTTCTTTCTAATTCCTTTCAAAACGTCTGATAATGTGCCATAGTGCCAAAATACTTATATAATTATGGTATGCAACTGTTACAATATATATTTATGATAGTGCATTCTAAGCTGCAATTCTGGTGCGGAATACTTGAACGAAGTTTTATTTATTTACAATTTTCTTTTTAATTGAGAGCAATAAAACGTCGTACAATGTTTCCTTTGTGTAATATCTCCTTTTAGAAAGTTTGGTTTCGAAATCCATTTATAAATTGAGCGCTTTTTTTTTTTAGTTTAACTTTTATCCTATTCCAACAGATATGCGATAAGAGGAGCAGAAATAAGAGTTGACTGCTGTGATTTTCATTTGAGATCAATAGAAGAAAAACATCGATCTTTGAATTCTTTCCACAGCATTTCATCTATTTTGCTGGACATGAAACAGTACTTGTTGTTTGATTCTTTTTTTTTTTCAGCATCTGTTTCAGCGATTGTTTTTAATATTGTCCTTTAAATTGGCGAGTTTCTAATGAGCTATGTGATATCTCGAGCTTTTAGTCTTTTCTTTCCGGGTATTGTAGTTTCCATCAATCGCACTTTTCCCTCGTGATGGCATAGTAGAATGCATAAAATACTTTTGTGCAATCGTCTTTTTGTTAATTTAGTCTTCTGTTTTTTGTTGTTGCAGTTTTGTTCTTGGTAGTTTAGAATTGGGTTTGACCCGGTTCTGCTGATTATCCAAGATTCCATTCCAAGAGCTAACTTTTCACCTTCAACCTTCTTTCTCGCAGAAGGACGCCGCCTTTATTTATATGACGACCGATTTGGAATATTTTACATTGGGTTTGAATTTTAAAGTTATGGTGAATTTTATATTTACTGCCAAACGGTATTTTAATTCGCATCCACAAACAGTTTTTCCTTAAATGTTTTATATAATTTTAAGTTAATATAAAAATCATACTATACAATGTTTTAACTTTTTCTTGTTTAAAAAAAGGAAAGAATATTTATAAAAAAAGTTTTTATTATAAACAAATTTCGTTTTATCCTTATTTAACATTTATAATAATATTAAAAAATCATAATTTACTTATAATTATAACGTATTACTTTATTACTTTTCAGTTTTGGAAATTTGGTGTTTGCTACAATCCATTAACAAATATTGTACCTTAACCTGAAGTAAAGGAAGATATTTCGTAGAAAGTTATCGAAGAGATTACACTGAACATTTCCGGTATATATGAGTGGTACTTATAAGCATAGTATTTTGTAACTCAGATAGTTATGGATTAAGTAGGGATTATCTTAATATGTACGACAGTATTCTTTTAATCATTTTACGGACTCCTATTATTACTGCTATAGTGGTTGTGTTTACATTATTGAAATTTCTATATGTAGATCCCGATGTTTGGAAATTGAAAGTTTGTCAATTTTTTTTTTTACTCTTTTTTTTTACTCGGATGTCTTTTATCAAACGGGAAGGACATATCTCTAAGATAGCACTTAAGTCTTTTAGAAAATATTATATCTGGTCTATTGGTTTGTATTCTGTGGTCAAATATGTATGGTAAACTTCCGGGTCACTATTATATTTTTTTCACCTTCGAGCATTGGTGTTGGTTTCTGTTCATACACGTTTTTTTTTCTGTACGGATAATGTTATAATGTTGACATATCTTTCAATGCAGATATTTCCCTACAATATCATGTCTATATTTAAATCCATTTGCAGATAGGATAGAGCACATAGATAGCCAGTTGTTTCCTCGGCTTTCCTTGGTTTGTTTTTTTGTTTTACAGCATACCAACCACAATGGGTTATTTAATGCCGACAACATTTCTTCTTTTCTTTTAAAAATGTATAGCTGGTAATATTTTTTTAAATATATAGTTTGGTTTGTTTTGTGGCATATTAAACTCAATAGGTTATTTAATGCTGACAAGATTTTTATTTCTGGTAATATTTTCTTTTTTCAAATATTTATTGCTGTTACTAATTTTTTAAAAAGTATTTCTGGTATTAAAATCTATTTTTACACTTTCATAGTGTTTTGAGTCAAGTTGTGAGGTCAACTATTTGCCCATAGTTGGGACCCTAAAGGTGCTACCACCCCAGGTCAGGGTAGACCTAGGAACACCAGCAATTAAGAGGTTGTTCCACGCTCCTCAAAACCTCCTGATCAGAGGCCTTGTTGCTGGACGTAGTTTATCGTCTTACCCAGGACAGGTCGGCTTTCCTTGACTAACTTGGATGAATCCAATCGTTTCTGGTTTCAACCCAGAGCTCGAAAACCACTGATAGGTAAGATTTCTGTCAAAATGTTCATGATGGCGGTTCGGCAGTATAAGGGTTATTTTTCTTTATTACATTTGGTTCTTGGTTTAATTAGGCCCTTATTTTTGTGCCTTTTGCTTGATATTTTTGGCCCCTACTATAGGTATATTGCATTTTATTTTAATATTACTAAAAACTTATTAAAATCATTTAGCTTATTTCAACATGAATACATGAGATAGTTATAGAATTAAAATTACTAATTATTCTAAAAATAAAATAAAAATACAATCTCTCGTATAAAAATAACAATACTACTGCTACCTAATATTTTCCTATTACTGTATTCTATTAAAACATGAAAGTAGTAAATCTGATTTATAAACAGCAAATTCCATCTTTCACAATCTTTTCTATTATGAATATTAAAATTATTAAAATAAATTAGATAATTTAAGATGAATATGCATAATTATATCACAGAGAAATATTTGAATAGCGGAAAATAACGTTAGTTTTATATTTTACCAGTGCCATTATCGTTAATGTAAATAAATATAAAGTTTAAGTTTATATCGAGGCTATGAAATTATCTTATATATCATCGTCGTATTTCGCAGGTTTATGGAAATTAATTTAAGCAGCAAGGATATGAGTAAAGGAAAACCTTTAAACAAATGCATATATTAATGCAGAGATAATTATATATATATATATATATATATATATATATATATATATATATATATATATATACACACACAAATGCATGTGAAAATGTAGGTGAGCAAATAGATACAAATTAGCTAAATAAGTATAGATAATTACAGAATTACAAAGACAAGAGGAACGACGCAGATAGGGGTGTGGTTAGCACACAAGGTGGCTGCTATGTAAACAGACAAGCCGAAAGGCAAATGTATATATGTGTGTATATCTAGTCTGTGGCTAGATTTGATTATGCAAGTCATTTTTTCATAATAAAATTGATATTACCCAACTACTGTCCGTATAATCTCTTGGATATAATTATATGCCCAATATATCATAAGTTTCAACACATAATATCTATCCTTATTGAAAATCTTGAAAATAACTTGTTTTGGCGATGTTAGAATTTATTATGCAAGTAAACAAGCCAATAACCACTTGAAGTAGTTTTATTGCTTCCAAGAGATTATTCTTTACTTGAATATTGTTTTACATTATCATATACAATTCTTGACAATAATCCACAGTTTTTCTTTTGGAGTAAAATTTGGAAAAGCTTCGAAACATTTTTGCCAAGGTAAGCGACAGTCAAAATGTGAAGAAGAAGATTGTCTTGCATGAATATACATTTTATTAGAATACTTATTGGTTGTAACCTGTACCACTCAAAAATGTATTGTCCAAGAAGTTACAATAATTATCTTCATTTATCGTAATGCCATTATATATATATATATATATATATATATATATATCTGAGATGAGGTATTATGGTGAATTAACATACACTAGACATGGCACGTGGAACTAGAACAGTCTACTTCAGTGAGCGAAATAAAGGGTTCAATTCGACATTCCAATCACCTGAAGAGGCCGGAGCGTACAACGGAC